TTGTTATCGCATTCAGCGATTTGATCGCAGCTTGGCTGTCACTGTAGATATTTATATGAGTTGCCGCAGGGGCTAGTTCCTGAAGACATCTCAAAGCTTCCTTGATCGCTATGACTTCCGCTTGGAAGACACTGCAGTGATCCGGGAGCCTAAAGGATTGTCTTATGTTCAGCTGTTCGGAGTAGATTCCTCCTCCGACCTTGTTGTCCAGCTTTGAGCCATCAGTAAAGCTTCGAATGGCTTCCTTTGGACCAGGTGGTCCCTCAAGCCAGATGTTTCTGTGAGGGATGATTGTTTCGAAGGGGGTATCTGTATACTCCCTCGGAACGCAGTAGTCCGTTTTTTTTGGGGACGATTTTGTTTCCATTTAGGATGGACGCATGACCGGTGTGATGTGACACCCATTGGTCAGAGTCTCTAAGACGGATTGCTGCCATTTCTGCCTGCTCCTTACCTGCAAGGTCAAGGCTCTGCAGGCATAGGATAGCATTTAGCGCATCCGTTGGTGTTGTGCTTAGAGCTCCACTGATGCATAGGGCTGCAGTGCGCTGCACCTTGCCCAGTTGTTTAGTGATGGTCCCCTTCGATAGGGCAGGCCACCACACTGCGACTCCGTAGAGTAGTATTGGTCTTACTTTTGCTAGGTATATCCATTGGACTATTCTTGGGTTCATGCCCCATTTTAGCCCAAAGGCCTTCTTGCAAGTGTAGAGGGCTATCGTAGCCTTCTTCACTCTGTCTTTGATGCTCAGGTTCCAGCTAAGCTTTTTGTCAATTACCAACCCTAAGTAACTGGCACTGTCGCTGAAGGAGAGCCTGCATCCGTTTAGTATTGGGGGGTTGGGGGACGGGATTTTGTATTTGGTTGTAAACAATACAAGTTCCGTTTTAGAGGGATTGATTCCCAGTCCACGCGACTCTGTCCATTCTGAGAGTCGCGCGAGCTTTGCAGTCATTAGATCGCAGAGTGTTTGAGGGAATTTTCCCGAGAAAATAGTGGCAACGTCGTCCGCGTATGCTACCACCTTGCAGCCCCCCCTTCCAGGTCACACAGTATCTTGTTGACTGCTATGTTCCATAGAAGGGGAGACAGGACACCACCTTGCGGGGTGCCTCTGTTGACATACCTAGACTGAGTGGACGATCCCATTGATGATGTCACTGTCCTGCATGTGAGCAATTGATCTATGAGCATCATCAAGTGACGATCCACTCCCAGGTCAGTCAGGGCCTCTGTGATGGCTCCCGGTATGACGTTGTTAAAAGCTCCCTCAATATCTAGGAAAGCGATTAAGGAGTATTCGTTGACGTGTAGAGATTTCTCTACCGCCGAGATTACTTCATGGAGTGCCGTTTCCGTGGATTTTCCTTTTCGGTAGGCATGTTGAGCGCCTGACAGCCACTGAGGATTTATAGTTGTCCTCAGCTGCAGCCCGACTAGTCTCTCAAAGGTTTTGAGAAGAAAGGACGATAGACTTATTGGTCTGAAGTCTTTTGGGGTTGTGTGTGAGGGTTTCCCTGCTTTGGGGATAAAGACTACTTTAGCCTTTAGCCAAGCGCGGGGGATTTTTCCCACTGTCAGTATCTTCCTGAAGATACTTTGCAGCCAGTTGATGGCCATGTCCCCGGCTTTTTGCAACTGAGCCGGAATGACTTGGTCCGGGCCAGGCGATTTGTAGGATTTAAAGCTGTTTACTGCCCAGCTAATATTCCGTTTTGTGAGGATGTGCCCCATCGAGGTTTCCGGGCCTTCACTTGGGTAGTCTGCCGGCTCGATGGTCGTACACCCAGGAAAATGAGTATCGAGTAGAATGTGTAGGGAGTCCTCACTAGAGTTAGTCCACGTACCATCCGTTCTCTTGAGGTATCCCATCGAGGGGATGTTTTTGACAGGATCTTGCGTAGCCTTGCGGCTTCTGACGTGTCCTCAATTTCGGAGCAAAATTTGTGCCAAGAGGCCCTTTTTGCTCTCCTTGTTTCTTTTTTGTATAGGGTTAGCTTACTTTTGTAATTTTCCCAATGCGCTTCCTCGCTGCTGCTTTTGGCTCTGTTAAAGAGAGTCCTGCAGTCTTTCCGGAGGGTATCTTTATGTTTAGACCACCAGGGGGGTTTCTTTTTCCCTCTTGGTTTGGTTGGGGGGCAAGCTGCCATGAAGGCCTTGTTGCAAGCTTCCGTGAAATTGTCCACAAGACGATTAAGATCGTCTTGTGTGTCCGGGCATTTTGTGGCTAGGGGGGGAGTAATTCCTCCATTTTTGCACTATACATATCCCAGTTGGCTTTCCTTGGATTAATATAGCTAGTGGGTATGGTGCTTTCGAGCGATAGGATTGTCTCGATGTACCTGTGGTCGGAGAAGGAGTGGTCCTCTAGGACTCTCCAACTTTCCATTATGTCTGACAGTTTGTGAGACAATAGAGTGAGGTCAATAACCTCTTGACGGTTTTTTTTGATAAAAGTGGGGTCATTACCCCGATTACCAATAATTAGGTTGGCGTTCAGGATGAAGCTGAAAAGTGACTCACCCCTTACATTTGTATCCGAGCTCCCCCATTGGGTGTGATGAGCGTTGGCATCGCAGCCTATTAGTAGGCTTGTATCCGACCTCTCGCTGTCGCTGGCAATCTTGCGAACGAGGTCACTGGGAGGATCGCTTTCCTCGTGAGCCATGTAGGACGACACCAGGTTCAGGCGTGTCCCTTGTAGCTCTAGGCTAGCCGCCGTATTGTCGCCATTGCTAAAATTGTGGAGCAGAAAGATATTTAGGTGCTTTCTTGCTAATATGCAGGTTCTAATTTTACCTTCAGTTTGGGCTACAATCAGCTTGTAGTCCTTTGTCGCTAATCCACAGACCTTGCCTTCTACCACCCAAGGCTCCTGGATTAGGACTACGTCAGCTCCGCTTGAAACCAAGCGGAGTATCAGGGCAGCGGATGCTGCTTTACAGTGGTGGAGATTTATCTGCAGAAGCCTCAGAGACTTCATTAGAATCGTTCTCCACCACTGTTATGTCGGCGTCAGAGTCGTCGAGGATCTCGTCCCGACACAACGCCTCAAAATCGAGCATCAGCTCCGTCTCCGAGGAGTAGCTCTCCAGGGCCGGCTCCGGCTCCGGGTCTACTTCGGGTGCCTCGATCTCCGAGGCAACGTCCCGCTCAACTGGGCTGTTGACAGGGCGCGCCTCGGTCGCTGCATCCGACTTATAGACCTTCATGGTCACCGAGCTGAACCCGAAGTTAAGCTCTCCCCTGGCTGCCTCGATCGGGGCTAGCGATTCCTTGTTCAGCACAACCACCGCCTGATTTGTGGGGCCCTTTGATGCCTCCACTTTGACCACCTTCCAATCTGAGGTTGGCAGTGTGGGGTTGCATCTATGCAACATCGTGAGGATCCGCTCGGGCTCCTTGAAAGTGGCCGGTACCCATATACGGGCCCTTGGTCTACTCGGCACCTCGCTCCAGTCCACAGCGACGAGCTTCACCCCGGCGTAGACCTCACCGATTTGCGCCACCGCAGCTTTGTATAGCTTTACGGAGCGCTCATCCTCGCAGGCTACCACTTTGATGCTCCCCTGGAACCATCCCATGTCTTTGCAGACTGGCGGTGGACCGGGATCCTTCTCTAGAAGCTCGAAGCAGCGGTCGGCCAGTGCCGCTTCCACCCACTTCCACTGGCTTCTGGGTATTTTCCCCTCCGCGCTGCCTTTGTCGAGAACGCCTATCAGCGTCCTCTCCTTGGCAATCTGCGCGAAGGATACATTCGGTGTAACCCTGGATCGCTTCGCGACAGGTCCGGGCGTCTCTTGAGAGCGCTGCCTCTTCGGTTGGGCGGCCACCTTCTGTGGCTCCACACTGAAGTTAGGCAACACCACCGAGGCCCATTCCACTTTCTTCAGCCAGTCTGCTGTTTGACTGACTTCCTGGCTTGCGTTCTGCCGACGGAGTACCCGCGGACCCGCGTCCTTCACCGTGCAGGTCTTTCCTGCGTCTGAGCGGATTTGGCCAGGCCTTTGGGCCGTTGCCTTCTCTCGCTTGGGATTTCTCCCTGTAGGCATTTGGGGCATGTAGGCATGGTAGGGTGGGCAACCGTGCCGCTGTGCACATGCATCCCAAGATCGAGCATCGCCTGACCGCTACCCCCCTCTTTCTTTAATCTATCTTATTCCGTTCTTGTTGGTCTGCTGTACTGTAGTCTTCCTTTCCCGTCCCCATCCTTCCACACGCGAACTTATTATCTTGTTTATTTGCACCCATTGAGAACCATAACTGACGGCCTATTCCTATTCACAAGCTCATTCTCGGGCTCATTCTCTGGACTCCCAAACTCTGTTGGGACAGATAGATTTTACAGATCCTTCCAGACCAGCAAGGACTTTCCGGCCTATCCGTTTACCCTTCTGCAGATCTAACTTCGCCCAGCACGAACCTTTCCGTATTCTTTGTAATAATTACAATTCGTATTGCAATACCATATCCTCCGAAATATTCCTTGACACGATTGTACGTAACGTTTACCTAGCAAATTTGTAAAACCTTTCTTTTCTTCCTCTATTATATTTTTCTTTAAGTATGTATATTCCTATTATAGTTCATAGTTAGCAGATAATTGTTAATTAATTGAAATAAATAAATAAGTAAATAAAAGCCAAGCTTAAATCTGACTCTAAAGTGTGTCCAAATTTGGGCTCAAACGGCTAAGTACTTTTCAAATGCATAGATGTAAGAGGAACGAACACAACATTTATATATATATAGATTGTGCTTTGAATGAACCGTTAGGATTATGATCGGAATATAGATCCCTCTGCGAGATAATATTAGCTAGTAACTCCCTTACTCTTGTTAAAATAATAATCGGCTTGGTGCCTGGTAGCTTTTTTTATCTGCTACCGATTTCTTATCGATCACTTCTAGAGAAAATGTGTACCGCGAATCAGTTTCGTCCCTTTAATTCGAGGAATGTGGTATGGCATCATGCTAGTGGATTACACGAAAAATCAAGCAGCCACTTTAGAATTATACCCAAAATTCTTTTTATCTTACAGCCTTTTAACAAAAACCATCCAAAACATGTTCGCATACCTGTTTATTGCTCTGTGGACTCAGTCTTCTTGATACCTATTTCATTGTTTTATATAACGTCTAGTAATGGAATGAATGTACGCTTATATTTTCTGGATCTTGTTTCAGCTTATTGTAGAGGAACGTGAGTTTGGCCAGATTTTCCTTCAGAAAGTTACCAGCATGGGAAAATCATTGAAAATTGCATCTTGGTACTTCAATGGACTCTGTCAATTTCTAGTGACTTCAGTTCTTATAACTTGTTTGCTTAAGGTGCATTGGCTGACTCATTTAATAATATTGATATTTTAATCGATGCATTGTTTTTTCAGATTGAGTGGAATGGAACCTCGATGAGCTTGAGTAAATGCCCTTGGTATATAATGCTCTTGTTCATTTCATCATATGTGTTCGCTGCTGTTGGCTTTGTCATTTTATTGTCCACCATAATACGCAACACATCATTAGCTGTTGCCGTGGTGCCCATCTGTTGGATTGTAGTGCCGCTGCCTTTTTTGTCGGAAAAAACGCTGGAGTCTGAAATATTAGACAATTTATATCTTACTTCAATACTTCTGTGCAATGTGACTTTGATTCAAGGCTTACAGAAGATGATTCACTTCGAGGACTATACCGGAAAATTGGGCACTAGACAATATCTCTACTCCACAATTATGGGCAGTGATATTGAGCTTATAATAGTTATCGGATGTTTCTATTTTCAGGCCTTTTTTTATGTGTTGCTAGCTATGTTCGTCGATGATTATGCTTGTGGCTGGCACTTTCTTAAGGATCGAATGCTGGAAAAATTTTGCACTATTTTCAAGTGGCGAGCTGAGCTCAATAGAGAAAAAGCTCAAGAAGGTCATAATTTGCAAGCTTCAAAATCAAGATCATTTTCCGATAAGTATGCGTTCACAGATCGACCTGTGCAAGTGATGTTAGGCAAATGGTAGGCAAGTGCCTACCAGCCTAATAAAACCATTGATATTGCTGTTTAGCAGAACTTTTGGCACCTGTTTTTATACCCATACTCAAAAAAGAGTTAAGGGGTATATTAGATTTGTGGTAAAAGTGGATGTGTGCACCGCAGAGAAGGAAACGTTTCCGACCCCATAAAGTATATATATTCTTGATCAGCATCAATAGCCGAGTCGATATAGCCATGTCCGTCTATCCGTCCGTCTGTCCGTCCGTCAGTCTTGATGAGCGCCTGAATCTCAAAGACTATAAAAGCTAGAACAACCAAATTTTGTTTCCAGACTCATGTGATATCACACTGCTACAAGTGTATTTCAAAATTTCGCCCGCCCCCTTCTGCCCAAACAAAGGACGAAAATCTGTGGCAGGCACATTTTTAAAGATACGATAAAACTTAAAACGCAGTATCGTAGAGAATGACCGTATCTATCAGATTGTCAAATCTGAATCAGATCGGATCATAATTATAGCCAGAATGAAGAAATTAATTTACTGTTGCTTCCTCTGTCTCCACCTGCCAGAGACACGGTATTCATTCTCTTTCTCGCTCGCACACTCTGCCGCGTTCAGTGCGCGAACAACCCCTAGCGGAGGAGATGTAGAATATGAATGGTACATATATAATCTACATGTTAGATGTAGAATATACGTTGTAGGTGTAGATAGCAGATGTAACAAAAAAAATAAATTTTTTTTTTTCTAAAATTCTAAAAAATCATAGGCTCAACAATTTATATACTGACTGAGTACGGGAATAAGTAGAGTCGCGTCCCCAGAAGCGACTCGTACGTTTCTTCTCGTTTCTGATAGACTTGGGACTCCAAAATTTCTTGTTTTTTATCAAATAACTTGCATATTTTAAACCCAGTTTTAAAAAATTTGAAAATTAAAAATTTTAAATTAAAAAACTATTCCAATCCAACACGAATTACAGCTGGTCTCTCCCTGAACCGTACCCTCCTTGGTAAAAGTTCGATAAATTCAAATCCAAATAAAACGAGAAGGCACGTGTGAGTCAATTCTGGGGACGCGACTCTACTTATACCCGCACTCAGTCAGTATATACATTTTAGATTTTTAAAATTTTTTAGAATTTTAGAATTAAAAAAAAAATGTTACATATTACATTTTTTTGCTACATATGTTATCCACATATACATCTACAATGTATATTATACATATAACTTGTAGATTATAGATGTACCAATTATATTCTACATCTCCTCCGCTGGGGGTTGCTCGCGCACTGAACGCGGCAGAGTGTGCGAGCGAGAAAGAGAATGAGTAGCGGTTCTCTGGCTGGCGGAGGAAACAAAATAGCTCTTATAGTCTCTGAGATCTAGGCGCTTATCGAGACGGACAGACGGACGCCCGAACAGACGGACATATCGACTCGGCTATTGATGCTGATCAAGAATATATATACTTTATGGGGTCGGAAACATTTCCTTCTCTGCGTTGCACACATCCACTTTTACCACAAATACAATATACCCCTTATCTTTTTTTTGAGTACGGGTATAAAAATCAAGCAAACTTTTGACAACCCTGGAAAGGCGAACTTCATACAACATTACTAACGTTTTCCGAGTCGTGGGCGCTTTTTCCAATATTTTTAATAAGTTTTTCTTATTTGGGTCGGAGACAAACTAAAAAAATCAATAGCCATGAAAATCAGTCCATCTGTTTTAAATTACTTAATCGACTTTGTTATATATATATATATTATTATTATATAATTTTATTGAATAACAAAGAACAGAATAGGGGGTGTCCTCTTGAAAAAATTTGTTGGTCAAATTTTGGCCCAGCCTAATATATATATATATATAATATATATATATATATATAATATATATAGACCCAAAAATTGATAAACAATTTTGTTTTTGTTTTGTTTTTTTTTTTAACGGACACCCTCTTATTCTGTTATTTGTTAGTAAATAAAACTATACAATTTTTTTCAAATCTTTAGTTTAATGTTTGAGGGTTGCTACCACGAAAAGAAAATAAAAATTTGTGGGTAAATATACATAAAATAATTTAATTCGTCGGTTTTTCCAAATAATATTGAAACTTAGAAACTAGTTCATTTTGATAATAAGGTATTTTTATTTTTTTTTTAGTTACTATTAAAAAATTAACGATTGGTGAAAATCAAGAAATTTAGGTGTGGTTGATATATTTAGTTAACTTGTTCGGTTAAGCAGGTTTTTTACTGCCAATAACTGATTAATGACGATATTAATGGTATCAATATATATTGATATATAGATTTCATCAAAATATCCCACTCATTCAGCAAACAATTTTGTTTTTAGCAATTTCTTGTAAAATTCGGTAGCAGCCTCTAAAACATTTTTTTAAATAAAATTAAAAACTTTAATATTACACTCAAACCCAAGATAACAAAATTAAGTGATGTCCCGTTTAAATTAGAAAAAAACACATATTTTTGGCTCAACCTAATATATAGATTATTATACAAATTTAATATACAAATTAAAGTGAATTATGTTTAGATTATAGCTGACCGATTGCTTTAAGATCTTATGATAAACAAAAGCACCTTCCAAACTGTGATTTTCGAAAGGTTGGTAAGCCAATTTTAACTTACCAGTTTCCTTGCTTTTTTTCGACATTTCCTTCAAAATTTTGAAAACAAATTCCGCACAAATATTATAGTTTTGCATTTTCAGTCGCCGAATAATCCTCATCGCGAGCAGACGTCAGTTGCTAAGAAATCGTGCCCTTATCAGTTTGTGTGTGTTTTCATTCTATTTCTTTCTTCTCATCGTTCTTCACCTCTTCCGCTCACACTGTTTGTTTGTTTGTTTGTTTTTCTGAAAATAACAAAAATCAAGTGCCAACTAAACGGCTGAACAGTCGTTTTTGAGCAAAATTGGCCCCGGGCCACCTAATTTAGGAAACAATCGGTTCAGCCTTCTTGCCGAAAGTCACCCCGTGAAAAAGCGTAGACAACTAATAAAAATGTTTAATGAATTGCGAACCCCAAGAATATAATAGTCTCTTCTAAAGACAATAAAAAAACCATACCTGAATATTTATGTTTCACCGTCCATAAAGCAATAAAGTAGATCAGTAAGAACATCGCTTCTATTTCTAATTTAAAAGACGGGAACTTGTTGTTGCTAGTTCACTCACTTGACGATGCCAAAAAATTCATTGTCTCAACTGAACTTCCAAGTATTTGCAAAATTGAATGCAAGTTCCATCAATCTCTTAATTCAGTAAAGGGCATCATTACTCTGTAGACATACCAAATTTTTTCTTTTCAATACGTTGTGAGGAATGGAGTTTCCTCACAGGGACCGAGTAAGGGTTAAGGAGAGAGTTCAAGGCAAATTCACAAGAGAGTGAGAGGAGGCCGAGAGCCGGGTCCCGTTAGAGCGGTAGGGGTTCAGTGCATGACCATGTGCATGAGATCACGCCACCGGCCCGGTCCCGTTAAGAACGTGGTGGAAACGAGCGAAGAGGCCGATGGAATTTACCGCTGTTGCTGGGCAGAGGCGCGGACGCCAGCGTCGAAGCGGTATACCCCCGCTTCAGCCCGGCGACAGCAGAAGGGGACAGTCAGTAGAGTGTGAATCACCCGGAAAGGCGCGAATAAAAGCGAGTGCGGTAGAGCCAACGGAAAAAGTGAGAGTCCCCGAAAGAAACCCAGGAAGGATCAAGTGACCCGATCAACAGGCAGCAGTACGACCCAGCGAAGGGAACAAAGTCTGCGAGATGCCAAAGGAAGGTCAACGGGTAACGGGTGTATTGCCACGGCGGTCGAAAGAGAATCGATGTGTGTGCGGAGTTGTGTGCGTGGATCAGGCGCGAGCCGGGTCGGACACATATCCATAGCACCAGCGAGGAGCCTGAGGGGCCGGTGACGCCAGAGCGTCTAGTAATAGAGACAAATCACTGTTATCTAGAAAGTAAGATCCATTAAGATACCAATAAAGTACCAATAGCCAGTAAATAAACCCACCCGTGCATTCTTTATTGTCTGTGAGTCAACATACAAATTTGTTGCAAACGAACCGTCGGCCGCTGAGCCAGCTTTGCTTATTCAGACGGACAGAAACAGTTCGTTAAAACTGGCGTCCAGCGTGGGGCCTCACAAGCAAAGAGAGGAGTGCATTGGGAAGGTCGGTACTGAGTGAGGTATCTATACACCATGAGGAGCCGACAATGGATCCATTCCCTGAGGAAGGAGGAACTGGTCCGATGTTCCCTAGAGCTTGGGCTGGAAGGCACCGTGTCCGAAATGCGGAGACAGTTTAAGGACTGGGTGGAAAAGCACGAGGCGCTGACCTGCTGGAGGCATGAGAGCTTCGGGCAGTTAGAACTTCACCCTTGCCACAGGATCAAGACAGGCCAGACGCGTACGAGCATCTGACATCGCCGGCAGATGCGGGCTCGGCTTCGGGGTGGAAAATGCCAGCGGAGGACCTCATAGCAAGCCTGGCAATACCAGACAGGAGCCAGCGGAGGCCAGGCACACCGCGACGCGAGAGCCATCGAGGAGCCACAATGAAGAAGGGCGTGAAGTTCCCGAGACGCAAGCCGGGAGGCAGTCTCGCACACTACACGCGAATGTAGTCAAGCGTTTCTGGAGCAGGTCGAATGGTCGGCAGACATGTACGGTCTGGACAGACTCACGTCCAGATTACCAGAGCAATGGCAGAGTTGCTGAAGGGCCGGGCGTTGATATGGTTCATCGTCAATAACCGGCAATGGCAAACATGGGAAGCCTTCGTGACAAGCATCCAGGCCTACTTCTTGCCGAGGGGTACTTCGAGAAGTTGCTCTAAGAGGTACAGCAAAGGAAGCAAAAATGGGGAGAGTCATTCAAGGACTACATAATGGACATGCAGACCCTCATGAGACCCCTCAAATGTAATCCTGAGGAGCAGATGGAGCTCATCCGCGAGAACAGCATTCCAGATCTGCGGATGTTCATCAGGCCACATAGGTGCAAGGACCTGGACCACATGATGATGCAAGCGGATGAGTTCGAGGCACTGGAAAGGGATCGCGTGGAGTTCCAGAAGGATATTCCAGCGGGAAGAGCGAAGGCGGCAAATCCCTTCGCGAAGTCGGCCGTAACCAAAGTCTGCCGGAGGTGCAACGACGGGCCGTGCCAGGCTGCAGCCCCGAAACCTACTCGGTAAACTCACCGTAGAGGATGTGCAGCTGTCAGCCGTGGTGGACATCGCGGGGAGGAAATGGAAGGCCACGATCGACACAGGGGCCACGAGCAGCTTTGTCAGCTGTGAGCTGGTGGAACAGATGCGTGGGGAGGGGCGCGGGGAGAAAACCAACAGCAGGTTTGTTTGGCCGATGGACGTCGCCGAGCCATCGATACACAAATCTAAGTGGAGCTGGCGTTCGAGGACAAAGTGGTCTCAATGGCACTTCTTGTGCTACCAGGAGTCATCGATGCGCTGGTACTGGGCTGGGATTTCATTACCGCGGTCAGAGCAGAGGTGAACTGTGCGGGGCAAAGTGTCGTGATCCCTGCGAGAGGCCGAGAGGTTGGAAAAAAGGCTGCTGGAGGCCAATGAAGAGACCCCAGAACGAACGGCTGATAAGGATTTAGAGGCCGATGACCCAATGGGAAGCAGGCGCCGCGAAAGGGCAGAGGAATTTCTGACCAAGGAGTTGAAAGCCTGAAAGGGGTATCGAATGTGGCGGTACATGCAATCACAATGAGCGATGCGGTACCGATTAAACAGCGATACTACCCTAAGAACCCAAAGATGCAGGCGGAAATCAACGAGAAGGTAGACAAGCTGCTAGAGATGGGGTTTATCGAGCCATCGAAAAGTCCATATAGTTCCCCCATCGCTATCGTTAAAAAGAAAACTTTTCAATGGAGGTTATGCGTGGACTTCCGACAAATCAATGCAAAGTCTATCAAGGACGCATATACAATGCCGCGGATTGACTATATTTTAGATCTGTTGAGAGATGCACGGTTCATCAGCAGCTTGGACTTAAAAGACGGTTAGGCAAATACCACTGGAAGAGGATAGCCGGAAGTTCACAGCCTTCACGGTGCCAGGAAAAGGATTATTCCAATGGAAAGTGATGCCATTCGGGCTACATTCGGCGTCGGCCACGTTTCAGAGGGACGTTTCTGGACCAATAGTCCAGAAATAATGTCACATGCGTTTGCTTACCATGATATCATTGTGATACGCCGAACGAAAGAGGAACACCAACTGAATCTTAGGGAGGTTTTCCGACGGTTAAAAAAAGACAACTTGAGGTTGAATGTTGAGAAATGCCAGTTCGGCCTGAGGGAACTTCGATACCTAGGTCACTTGGTGACGGAAGAAGGCATCTGAACTGATCCAGAAAAGGTGGCCGCCATTGCAGAACTGAAGCCACCCTCGAACGTGAAGGAGCTCCGCAAATATTTGGGCGACGCCTTATGGTATCGACGCTTCGTGCCAGGGTTCGCCACCATGATACAGCCACTCAGCGCATTGCTGAAGAAAAAGGTGAAGTGGGAATGGGCACCAGAGCAGCAACAGGCATTTGAATATGTGAAGGGTCGGCTGCTAGCCGATCCGGTACTAACCCGCCCGGATTTTTCAAAGAAGTTCGTGCTACAGACGGACGCCAGCGACTATGGATTGGGAGCGATTCTTACCCAAGATACAGAGAAGGGCGAAAGGGTGATCCTGGCCATTGTGTGGGCCATTAGGAAGCTCAAACCCTATTTGGAAGGTATCACTTCAAGGTGGTCATCGACCACATGGCATTGAAATGGCTCAACAGCATAGAGAGCCGACGGGGAGAATCGCAAGATGGGCGCTGGAGTTGCAGCAGTACGATTGCGAAATAGCGTATAGGAAGGGGCAGCTGAACGTAGTGGCTGACGCACTATCGCGACAGCCCATGGAGGAGCGATGAATGCGAGCGGAGGACGTCGGATAGGAACCCGAAGAGCAATGCTCATGGATAGAAAAGGTCAAGGAGAAGATGAGAAAAGACCCGGCCAAGTTCCCGGATTATGTGGAGGAGGCAGGCGTAGTGTACCGGCATATCCCGCACCAGGCCGGCGATGAAGAAGTAGTGGCTTGGAAGTTATGTGTGCCGAAGGATCGTCGGGAGCGGGTCATGAGGGAGAACCAAGACACCCCCGAGGCGGGTCACGCCGGCGGCAGAAAGACGATGGCAAGGATGGCTGTCAAGTACTATTGGCCGGGGATGCACAGGGACGTGAGGACGTATGTCAGGAAAAGTGACACCTGAATGCGTTTCAAACCAACTTAGATACAAGCGGCCGGGAAGATGCTGACACAAGTACCGGAGGAACCATGGGCGGTGTGTGCAGATTTTGTGGAACCATTAGCCAGGTCAAAATATGGAAATACCATGCTATTGGTGCTGGTAAACCGATTTTCAATTTTGACCGAGTTGGTGCCGATGAGAAAGACCACGGCAGAATCACTGATAAAGGCTTTCAGAGAGCGAAAGTTAGGCCGGTTCGGCGTGCCCACCACCAGTTACCAGTCGGGCGTTTAAAAAGTTTCTAGAGCAGATGGGAGTTTGACACCAGTTTACGGCCCGGTACACACCGCAAGAAAACCCAACGGATCGCACCAACAGAATGGTGGAAAAATGATCGCACAGATCACCGAAGGGGACCAGAGATGCTGGGACGAGAAGTCACCCGAGTAAATGCTGGCCGTGAACTCTGGGGTCACGGAGTCCACGGGACTCGCACCAGCATTCATAGTGCAAGGAAGAAAGCCCAGGCTGCCGAAGGCTCTGTATGATGAGGAAACACTCGGCACGGGACAAGAGACACAAACTCCAGATAAACACGCGATAAAGCTGAAGGAACTGTTGCAGCTAGTAAGGCGAAATTTGGAAAGGGCAGCCAAGGATCAGGCAAGATATTATAGCTTGCGAAGGAGAGCTTGGAAGCCGAAGGTCGGAGAAAGGGTGTGGATCAAACAGCACCACCTATCTAACGCAGCCGGGGGGCCGTGTCACCGGTGATATGCAAGCTGCGGAGAGACAGCGATAAGCATACACGGACGGCACACATTGGAAAAAAAGTACAAATAATAAGAGAAGCGACATACCCGAGGCCAAAGGCTTCTCCATGGGGGTCCAGTGAGGCGTTAAGGTGAGTCCTGGTCCTGGGGTCCAGAATTCCTGGGTCATCTACAACCGTCGGGTTTGGCCGGGCAGAGGGCACTACCCACGCGTTGCCTACAGCCGAGGAGTCGGATGACCCTCGGGTCCGAGGCAGCTGCGTGGGGCAGAGGTCACGCCAGAAGCCAAACCGAAGGCAGCAATGAGGTGATAAGCCAGGGCCGATCGTCATGATGCAGCCGGACGAAAGGTTGGAGGACCTTTTAATCGCGGGCATTTATGACGATTGGCATCGCGTGCCAAGGAGGCAGGATGCGCGGAAAGATACGCCAAAGTTATTGAAGAATGACACACATTCGCGGTACTCACATGGGCCGAGGGGGGAATCGATCAGTTCGGGGGGAGGGTAGGCCGGGCGTCAAAGCTCTGCAAGAAACATATCAAGGAAAATGTTATTTCAAAAAAAATATATATATATAAAATAATAAAATGTATATATAAACAAAAAGGGGTAGGTTCAGGTGTAAGAAGACCCCCACCGACCGCGGAAGGGTTAACGCGGCGAAGAGCCCCAGTGCGGAGAGGCAGAAACCTTCGAGAGAGGGGGAGAAGGAATGAGCCGGTAGGTAAGACGGAACGACGGGAAAGACAGCGAGGGCTCGACGGCAGCAGAGGCTGGGGCTGTCGATCAGTCGAAAGCCAGAGGTGCCCAGACACAGACGCAACGCAAGGAATTATAAAAATTAAAAAAAAAAACATATTTGGAAGAACAGGCCAAGCGTGTGGGGAGCTGCAATCGAAATATATTATCAGCAATTAGTATATGTGAATAATAGTCCACGTTGTTCACTCACAATGCTCTACCAGAGTACGGATGATCGGCTTGACGACTTTTATCATCTCACAGAGCGGCTTGTTGCAAGACGCTGAGCCGTTTGGAGGAATGAAACAGTCAAGGCCATATGGAGGAGCCGTATGGAGCAGCAGCGCAGTCGGCGAGCAGCGGCAGAGGCGCGACGCGAGAAGGAGCGGCGACAACACGGCGAGGAGGCACGACGACGCGAGGAGGAGACCCGGCGACGCGAGGTGGAAGCCCAACGACGCGAGGAGGCCCGGCGACGCGATGAAGAGGCTCGGAGGAAAGCAGCAGAGCAGAAGGCGCGAAGGGAGGCGGCGCTGAACAAGGACATAATGCGGGAGGCTCAGGCTGCCCTGCACCGTCAGATGGAGGCCACGCGGCGTGAAGCTGAAGCCCACAAGGGGAGCAAGGAAGTTCTTGGGGGTGAAGCCGGGCCTGTTTGCCAACCCGTCAGGACAGCAGAAACCACAACAGGGTGAAGAGGCTCTCTTATGGGAACGCCGGCATCCCGAGTCACCGCCGCAGCGGCAGAGCGCGCAGCAGCCAACGCCCCCGCAATCGCCGCCGCCGCAATCGTCGCCACAGCAGTCGTCACCACGACGACAGGAGTCGCCGAAGGAGCCGCCACGGGAACAGACCTTACTGTAATCACCTCAGCTGAAAAATACATGCTAAATGTCATCCAAAACCACACTTTCTCAGAACGGATTGCCAACTGGACATATTTTCAACACAAATACAAACTTTTCCAAACCTGGAGAGTATCAGAAAAACGTTTTTTTCCGAACTCGTTACCATGTACTCATCTGTCGACAGTTTCCCACTCTAATATAACTAGAATATACAATTTCATACAAAAATGTAATATAATTGATCAAATTTTAAAAATTATGCTCACACTTACATATGGTCAATGCCATAGAATATATGCACACGATATATGTACGTATTTCCCAACAATAACACTAGTCAACACTAGAATTAGGCTGTGGCCCAAAATTTAGATTCTTATAGATTTCGTGGTTTGAAAATTTTTAACGAACTATGGTTTTTTTTTTATGGTGTAGTTTTTTTTTTAAGAATTTTTTAAAATCTGGTATTTTTTGTTTGTTTTGTTTTTCAGAGGTAGTGCTTCTATTTTTCACATAACTTAAGTATCTTATATCTGGTTGCATAGAATTTTTAAGTTCTGAAAAGCTGACGCAGCTATAAATCTGTCCCAGACCTTTTGTATCTGCAGCTTAACGCCTGGAAGATATTAAGCTTTCAAATTAAAATTTCATAATTTTTGGCGGTATTTTTTTTTTTAATTTTGACTTTAAAAACTCGGGAAAAGTCGAAAAAAAAATAATTATTAATTAATTAATTAATCTTCCAGGCGTTAAGCTGCAGATACAAAAGGTCTGGGTCGGATTTATAGCTGCGTCAGCTTTTCAGAACTGCAAAATTCTATGCAACCAGATATAAGATACTTAAGTTATGTGAAAAATAGAAGCACAACCTCTGAAAAAAACCATGAAAATAAATACCAGATTTTAAAAATTCTTTAAAAAAAAATTACACCATAAAAAAATAATAAAGTACTACAAAAATTTTTAAATCCCTAAATCTATCAGAAAAGGTCATTTTGGTTCACAGCCTTTTGTCGAGTAGTTTAATTAAACAAACAAACGATCTTACTCCCTTCTGTCCCATACAGAACCGAAGGCCTCGATGCAAGCGCTCTATACAATTAATTTTAATATTATTTCATAATGTATTAAGGTTAATCTTAAAAAGTAATAAATAAATAAATTTTGCATTTTAAAGATGCATCATCAGATTCAGTTTATAGCTGCCCCAAGTTTATCAGAAATAGTCGGTTTGGATCCTTGAGGACAAAACAGTTAGATTTAGTCGAGTTGTGCTTTTAAGACTAAGGATAATAGTTTCGTATATTGAAATATTATATATATTGATTCAGGCAGGCTCGCATTTCCACTTTCCTTTGCGTTTTATTTTTCAGCCAAAAGTCATACCTTCGTTTTCAATTGCTCTGGAATCCGCCATAGTCGATTTTTTTACTCCCTGTACTGTTAAGCGCCAAATGTACTGCGGTTATACCCAAGCGTTAGTGCCAGCTTATATAAAAAGGCTTCTGTTATATTTAACAGAGATTTATCGATAAGCAGATCGGGCTGCGATAGCTTTTCGGACGAATTCACTTTTTGTTTTTGCAAAGACCAATTTTGAGGTTGGTTTAAACCATTTAAACCCGATCCAAAACCGCTGGTTGAAATTTAATGGAACTTAATACTAATGCTATAGGAGTAGAAAAAAAGGTCTATATTTAATGTTTTTTTTATCTCTGCCGGTTTGGGCTGTAGGGGCTGGTCGATTTATCGACCACTGGTTATTAACGATATAAAAACTTGCAAACATAAAATATTTTAATTTTAATGGATTATTGTTTTTAGCATGAATATAATAAGTGATTACAAATTATAATGTATATTAAAACAATTTGTGTGAACAGCAACCTCGCATTTGGAGCATTTAAATTAAGCATGTTTATTACAAACACGACAACGACATGGCTTTTCAAGTTTGAAGATGTACCTTTGTATCTCCGGACTTGTATGAAATAAACACATTGTTACATTCGTACGGAAAGCAAGTTGTGGCCTCATACTTAAATGTTTTGGATTTTTTCGGTTCATTGCGCGATCCGTTCCCACCTCTTTGGATTCGGTAGTTCTTGCATGCTTGGCCAGAACACAGTGGAGCTTCCATGAGTTAACCATAGCGGCGTCCAGGGCATTTGTAAACAACGGCCAATACCACTTTTTCCCTCGAACTCTAATACGATAATTATGTGTGCCATTGTCAAATAGATCGAATCCGCCCATTCGCTTATTATAAGCGTGCAGAATCTGTGGCATTTGAATATACTGCATTTTCCGTGACTTCCGATCCCATTGCTTTGCACGGTTCATAGGCTCGATTACTTCATGGTTCGATACAATTGTAACCACGTAATTATCGTTTCACCGGGCGATCAACAATTCATTTGCCTTGTCGAATATATAATCCAACGAACCACGCTTTTTTTTCAACGCTCTAATATCCACAAGTGGAGCGTAGTTGGTTCGGTTGTCTCGAACTGTGCCTGTGCAAAAGTAATTCATTTGTGAAAGTCGAGACATCAATCTATGAGACGTAAAAAAGTTGTCGAATGCAACGCAATGTTGCAATGGATTCTCCAGCTTACTGAAAAGCTTGAGAACCACTGTTTCTCCCAAACCAAACCAAACCGGATCCGGGACTGCACCACCATATGGAATAAATGAATACAAGTAGCCTTCAGCCCAACACAAATCCCAATACTTAAATCCGGATCGGCTTCCCTTTTATAAACATTTTGCAGGAGTGGCGGCCGTAATAGGCAATAATTTTTTCGTCAATAGATAAATTATGGCTGAAAACTCCAAACTGCATTAATTTCACATTCATCAAATCGTTCAATGGTGTAACTCTCAAAAACCAATAAAGTCCACATTTTGTATTTTCGTATATCGTTTATGACAAGTGGTCGAAAAATCGACCAGTAAATTTTAACCTTAGCGTATTCAAAAACCACTACACTAATTGAGCTGTAACTATTTTTATTGCAAAATATAGATCCCATAAAGTTTAATATAAAATAATATTTTAAGAATATTTTATTCAGAATTTTCCAAATATTTGTTTTAGGATTTATAAATATTTTTTCTACTTCTTCCTAAAAGTTAATTTGCGCGACTGCAGTAAAAATCAGGTTTAAAATATATAAAAGCCCCTCAAAAAATTATTTAAGTAAACAAAGGTGTAAACTACCATATTTTCAAGGTAGCTAAGTTATATCTATTTTACGCTAACGTCCAAAAATATCTAAAGTCACTGGTCGATTTTTCGACCACTGGGTGGAAATGGGTTAAGAAAAGGGCATAAGCTCAGTTGCACTGGTAATAGTCAAATTCATGTCAATGCATCAATAAGTCATCTATTTGTTTCCTTTTTCAATTAAGATGCGGGGAGTGTCTAACGTTCTGGTTTGAGAAGTAAATCACAAATTTTATGTGAAAGTGAAAATTGGAGCATGCCTGATTATATTGGTTTTGTATCCTTACATTTGACAAAAAACGCTTTAAAGCCTTGTACGGCCAACTTCATAAAAAAATACTTGAAATACTTTAATCGCGATTTAATAGTTTAGAATAGTTATTCTACTATTCGGGACGGAGACAAATACAACAAATGAAAAACCATGAACATTTGTCCAGCCATTCTAGAGCTATAAGTGTTTGAAACAGGATCGTAGTTTTATATAGATGTATTTGTTTTATAAAAATTGAGAAAAAAGCTATTAAACAATTTATTAAAAAAAACTGATAAATCTTGATATCCTGTTATAGGATAATTCTTGGAAATACTGTGTAGCTATTTCATGTACCAAAGTCACATATGTTTACTCTAATATTTTAAAATTATAAATATTCTCTATTTAGTATCTTTGTTTCGTTACAGCTTTCAAGTTGATGGCGAGAAAGAAAATAACCTCGAAGAAGAGATGATCCAGCAGACGTATAATATTGATACAAAAATCTATGGGATTTTGGAAGTGGAAAAGAAATCCAATGCAACCATTGAGTTTCGAAACGTATGGAAAAAGTTTTCTGACAAATTTGTCGTGAAGAGCTTCTCACTTAAAGTCTATCAAGGCGAAGTGGTAGCTCTACTGGGCACTAATGCGTCCGGAAAATCCACAATTATGAAAATGGCCTCCGGAATGTTATTGCCTTCTTTTGGCAAAATCTACATATCTGGTATAGACGTAAAAAATTTTTCATCCCAACCACCTAAAGAGATTGGCTTTGCCATCCACTGCACTGAAACTTATTCAGAGTTCAACGTGCTCGAGCATCTTATGTTTTTTTGTAGTCTGCGGGGTCTGAAACACAATGAAGCTAAAGAAGAAACATTATTATATCTGCGTTCCATGAAAATGGAGGATAAAGAAAGAACTCCAGTCAGACTACTGACCAGCGGCCAGAAACGTATATTGCATACTTTGTGTTCCTTTGCTGGAAGAACTCGAATTGTGCTGCTCGACGAACCACTTGTAGGAGTGGATGAAGATAAGACAAAGTTGTTCTTTAATTTTGTTCAGCAGCAGAAGAAGAATCGCACAATTTTTCTGACAACCAACCAACCAATAGTGGCTAGCAATCTTGCCGAGCGCATTGCAATTTTATCCAATGGTGGCCTGTATTTTTGCGGAACAAAAAAAATGTTTTTTAAGAAGTTCAAGGACGCTTATCGATTGGTAAATATCCCATCATATTATCATTGAACGCTTAAGCATTCCCAGGCATAATAAAATCTAGTAAATTAAGGGTGGAAAGCCTTAATGCAAATCACAGAGAAATGACACTTTGCAAAATCCAATAAATTCTCCTTCCTACCACGATTCTCCATTTTTTAATCGAGATTTCAGGATTTTTGTATAAATATCCAAATATCACACATAAAATTTAAACAAATCAAGTATGCTTTGACCTATTATTGGGTTGCGTGTTACGTTTTTTGTGAATGTGAAAGTTTTGCATACTGATTTTCATCAGAAAGAACACCAATTTGGTCAATTTTTGTGTGTGTTACAGTGAACATGGTTAGCTAGATGCAATGGGACCAGGTTGCACTTTCGAACAAATAATGCAACAAATATGATTTATGTAACCTATACAATAAATAGTTTATGCGTGGTGCCGGAATTGGAATCGGAGCCGATGCACTCCGTTTAGTAACTTTCTACTATTTTATTAGAACTTAAAAATATTTTATCTGCTTCCATTTTTATACCCGTACTCAAAAAATAGTTAAGGGGTATATTGTATTTGTGGTAAAAGTGGATGTCTAACTGTCCGTCTGACCGTCCGTCTGCCTTCTTGATGAGCGCCAAGATCTCAGAGACTATATGAGCTAGAGCAACCCAATCTTGTTTCCAGACTCATGTGATATCACACTGCTACAAGTGTATTTCAAAATTTCGCCCCGCCCCCTTGCACCCACACAAAAGACGAAAATCTGTGGCAGGAACAATAATAATAAGGAACAGGAAATAAAACTAAAAAAGCAGTATCGTAGAGAATGCCCATATCTACCAGATTGCCGAATTGCTGAATCAGATCGGATCATAATTATAGCCAGAATGACGAAATTAATTTTCTGTTGGTTCCCCCGCCTGCTTCAGCCAGAGACACGCTACTCATTCTCTTTCTCGCTCGCACACTCTGCCGCGTTCAGTGCGCGAGCAACCCCTAGCGGAGGAGATGTAGAATCTTAATGGTACATTTAGAATCTACATGTTAGATGTAAAATATACATTGTAGATGTAGATAACAGATGTAGCAAAAAAAAGGTAAAATGTAAAATCAAAAATGTATATGTATATGCGTCCCCAGAAGCGACTCACACGTTCCTTCTCGTTTTCATATTGTCCCAGTGTGTGTGTGAGGGTTTTTTCCCAAGAAAATAATTAAAATTCCGTCGGCTTTTGCCAATACTTTGCAGCCCAGTTGCGCGGTGGTAACCCGACTAGTCTCTCAAAGGTTTTAAGTAGAATGGACGATAGACAGATTGGTCTTTTGTGGTTGAATGTGAGGCTTTTCCCGCTTTGGGGATAAAGACTATTTTTACATAAAGCCACGCGTGTGGAATTTTCCCTTGCTAAAGATACATTGCAGTCAGATGATGGTTGTCTCGGGCCTTTTAAAGTTGAAGTTTAAAGTCCCATTGGACGAGCCTCTTTGCCGATCAGAAGCTTTAAGGGACTAGCTCCAGTTTCATGGTTGACTGTGCAGTTGAGGGCAAGCTCTGCCTCTCATAGGGCATCTTGCCAAGACCGTTGGCTTGATTCAACAGCGGTTAATAGATTTTTCAGTATGCTCACTACACGCTCAACCTGACCGTAGCAATTAGATGAAGCTTAATATTTTGTGATGAACAGAACTCGGAAAACTTTGCACTAGTGAAACATCTACCCTGATCGGCAATGATTCGGGTCGGAACCCCAAACAAACAAATGGATGATTTCATAGCCGTCACACAGCTCTCGGTATCCAGTTTGAGAGTATGAAACAAGTAAACGTACTTTGTAAAAGCGTCAATCTGTACAAACACATACTCTTTAAGGTCACTTTTACCGCTTAATTTTCCGGTGATATCCATATGTACGGTATGCCAAGGTATATTCACTTTTGGAATGGGATGAAGCTCTGCCTGAACTTTTCCCGACGACCCCTTATCTGTTTTACAAGTGATGCAATTATCAACAAATTTTCGTACGTACTTGTTTATCTTTTCAAACCAATAATATTGAAAAACTTTATCAAGCGTTTTCTTCCAACCTAAGTGCATAATTGATTCATGAACTTGATTTATTACTGACCATCTAAATGCACGTGGTACTACCTGCAAACAACACACCCTTTCTTAATTCGTTTGTCTTTGTCAAATCTTCAGCAAGCTCACTGTCATTAAGTTTCTTAACAATATCAATTAGATCTGAATCAAGTCGCTGCTCAGCTAAGAGCCAATCGTACGAAATCTCTGTCAGTCTCACTTGTTTTTCAGGAATTTTACATTTTACAGAATCGGGTTTTACATGAATTAGATTTCTTCACAAAAAATCAACATGGCCATACGTTTACCTTCCCTATACTGTATATCGAAGTTAAAGGACTGTAAATAAGCCCACCACCGATACACTCTAGGGGTCAATTCCAATTTAGTGCGTGAAGCCTTTAAAGAGTTACAATCAGTATATACTACAAACTCACGTCCCAACAAATAGTGACTGTTCGGTTCAGACCGGCCTATAACACTAGTCAACACTAGAATTAGGCTGTGGCCAAAAATGTAGATTCTTATAGATTTCGGGGCTTACAAATTTTTAACGAATTATGGTTTTTTTTTATGGTGTAGTTTTTGGTGTAGAATTTTTTAAAATCTGGTATTTTTTTTTGTTTTTTTTCAGGGGTAGTGTTTTTATTTTTCACATAACTTAAGTATTTTATATCTGGTTGCATAGCTACCAGAGCTAAAATTCGTTAACCAAACCTCAAAAGTGAAAAAAAAAACACAAAAAATACTTTTTGGATTGTTGCGGGCCCAACTGCCAATTGGAAACAAAGCAAACGAAAAGGGGTTTTTGGTAAAAAGTATTTTTTGTCTATTTTTTCACTTTTGAGGTTTGGTAAACGAATTTTAGCTCCACCGTTTATCCATAGATTTTAATGAGCAATACCTTAAACGACGCTTATTTAATGCTTCTATCTAAAACTAAAAATGCATGGCAAGAATTATTATTTTTTCGACTTTTCCCGAGTTTTTAAAGTAAAAATTTTGGGAAAAATACCGCAAAAAAATGATGAACTTTGAGTTTTAAAGCTGAATATCTGCCAGGCGTTAAGCTGCACATACAAAGTGTCAGGATATGATTTATAGTTGCACTAAACACCTTTTCAGAACTGCAAAGTTCTATGCAACAAGATATAAGATACTAAAGTTATGTGAAAAATAGAAGCACTACCTCTGAAAAAAACCAAGAAAAAAATACCAGATTTTAAAAATTCCTATAAAAAAAATGACATTATAAAAAAAATAATAAAGTACTACAAAAATTTTTAAATCCCAAAATCTATCAGAAAAAGTCCTTTTGGTTCACAGCGTAAATCAAAATTTCAATTTTGTCGAGTAGTGTAATTAGAATACATAGCATTAAGTTAATGCCACCGAGCATAATTGTTTGTTGTACTATGTTTTGTTATTGTCTATCGCTCTGTTATCTCTCTCGCCCTAAGGCTTGCGCTCTCGCTGAGCATTTGGCTGCTGCTGCAGTTTCTGAGCGCAGATCGAAGTAGTGCAGCTCCGACCACAAACAGAATTAAAACGTACAACATATATAGAAAGCCAATTTATCGTTTTTATATATATTTGCGTCAAGGTGATATACTTCGATATCATCCTCTAAACATTTTGGTGAATCCGACGTGATCGGAGCCTGTACCACGGTCTATAACATTCAAATTGCCTATATCGTTCAGGAAATTGATTATTCGCGATCCAGCTGTTTGTGCACAATTCGGTGCCAAACACACAAATACAAAGCAGTGATTGCTACATCGTGCAACTACCAGCAGTTGGCTGTAGTTTGGTGAAAAGTTCGCGTTTAAAAAGCCTATATACATTTCTATATATATATATATATGGACATCGGTCTCATAACTGAGTGCAAGCACCCCGCCCTGAAACGGTTTTTGTTGCGCGTGTGTTAGTAGTTCAAGCGCAGTGCAAAGCCCTGAGAAGCTAAGTGTTCAGAGTGAGGATGGCGCTGGCGGGGTAACAGCTCTGTGGGCATTCCAGCCACACCACTGTTAGCAATCCAGCTACGCAAGCTGTTGCCCCCGCTCTCGCTCTCACGCTTATGTTCGTTTTTCCCCCCGGAGACGCGCTTTCGCGCGCATACTCACCACGTTTGCGCTCCCGCCCACGCTCACGCTCCCGTTCTCGCCGCCGACAGCCCTCGGCAGCTTGAGCGCCACCGATCTATTCAATGCGCTTCTTCACCCACAAGCAAACGGCCGGCTTTGCACGCGAAACATAAATACATATATATAACCTAAGCACCAGAATAAACCCCGAAATATACATTGAAGAATTTGGATTTGCCTATCATATTTATCTGTGGGAAACATCTGTGGAACTTCGAACGCCTCTACGCTCCAACACTAAGGCAAAAGAATAACTAAAATCGAACCGTTGGTTTTTCGTCGCTTGATCTTCAGCTGACCCGCGCATACAGGATGTTATATTTTGCAATTGAAAACTTAAGTAGTGCCTCTGATTTGTGTGTGAACTTCTTGTGACGCTAAAATGGCAGAAAACCATGATATTGGTCATGCTTTGCCTGCTGGCCCTAGTGAGGTTGATTTTTACAGAGCAAAGGCGAAGTCGATCCAGTGCCAACTCGTGGCTATGAACACATTTATTACCGATGACTCTATAATTCAGTTTGACGAGGCTGATCTACGTGCGCGAATAAAGCATAATGAAACAATGTACGCTGATTTTAACATTGCACAGACCAGCTTAGAAATGCTCGATCTGATGGTGCTCGACGGCGACGCGCGGTCCTATTTTACGGCGGTTTATTTGGAGATGATTGCGAGTTGGGCAAGGCAAACTCAACGGCCATGCCTCATCATTTTTCCGGAGATGCTCCGTTCAACACTTCATCACCGAGGTCAAGGCTGCCGCATCTGGTATTGACGCGCTTCAGTGGAGACTACGCAGACTGGCCAGATTTCTTCTCGATGTTTTCAACTGTGGTGGACAATGAGCAGGAGCTAAGTAATTTGGAAAAATTCCAGTATCTACGTGCTAGCCTAGACGGGGTAGCACTAGAAACCATACGTTCCCTCGAAATATCCGATGAGAACTGTGCCAAAGCTTTACAATTACTTACTAATCGTTTCGACAACAAGCTCCTTCATTTCCAGGCACACGTAACGGCGATATTTGGGCTACATGGTGTTGAGATGAGATCTGCCAAGACCCGGGAAAAATGGGAAAAGGACTTACCGATCAACAAGCTGTCAAATTGGAGCACCACGCTGAATGCCTGTTTTGTGACGGAAAGGACCACATCCTAACTAAATGCAGCATTTTTTTGAATTTGGCACCTACCTTGCCGTACAAGGAAGCAAAGAAAATGCATCTCTGCCTCAATTGTTTCCGCAAGGTTCATGGGTTGCAGCAGTGCAAGTCTGGAAATTGTAAGCAATGTCAAATTAAGCATCATACATTGCTCCATATGTCGCAAAACCCGTTTGCATCCTCACCAACCACGGTAGGGGAAAGCGTGCCTCAAAATCAAACATCCGCATTAATTTCATGCTCGACCTCCTTACCTCACCCTTTAACTATTGCCAGTATCCCAAACAATTACGTGTTGCTAGCTACAGCCATCGTTTTGGTTAGGAATCGAGCTGGAACGCTGGTGCCCTGTCGAATGATTCTTGATTCTGCATCTCAGCTCAATTTCATAACGTCCCGTCCAGCTGGCCATCTACAACTAAATCATTGTCATTCGCCCATTTCGATATCTGGCATTGGAAAATCGTCGCTCAGCTCTAATAAGGCAGTGGAAGTTGTTATGCAGTCTCAGGATGGTGGATACAAGTCTTCTTTCACGGCAGTTGTTACTAAGGTCATCACTGACTATCAGCCGCATTGCGACATTAATGCTGCTGGCTGGGATCTGCCTAAGAATATAAGCTTGGCTGACCCTTTATTCTATAGATCTCAGCAAATCGATATGCTCATGGGGGCGGGTCTATTTTTCGATTTGATCTGCGTTGGACAGATACAGTTGGCTGAAAGGTTGCCGTCGCTCCAGAACACCAAACTTGGTTGGATCGTCTCTGGAGGTCTGGCCAACTACATCACCAATCGCTGCGCTCTGGCTGCGGCAGCTCGACCGCACATACTAAAGGAAGAAGAGGATTCTCTGTCTGAAGTTGTGAAGCGCGGCTGGAAAATGGTCAATATTCTGTTCGGCTCTTGGCTTCTGCTGGTTTTGAGGCCCTTGGCGACTCATTCTGTCTCGCTCTTCGTCGATTCAAAGGTCTTGAGACAAAGTTGCTAAGAAATCCGTCACTAAAGGCTCAGTATAGCGCGTTCCTTCAGGAATATCTAGACTTAGGGCACATGTCTTTGGCCTCCAACACACAGAAATTGGCACAGTTTTTCTTGCCGCATCATTGCGTTCAAAAACTCGACAGCAGCTGCACGAAGCTTCGTGTTGTCTTCGATGGATCCGCAAAGACCACATCAGGGCGTTCGATCAATGACTTGTTGATGGCGGGTCCAACCATTCAGCCAAAAATATTCAACACACTGGTTCGGTTCAGGTTCTTGAAGATTGCACTTTGTGGAGACATCTGCAAGATGTATCGCTGTGTACGGATATCGAACCCGGATGAATATTTGCAATGCATCCTTTGGCGAGAAGCGCCTACTGATGAAATCAAGGTGTACAAGCTGGAGACCGTGACGTATGGAATGTGCCATGCACCAGCTATCGTACGACGAGGAGGTATCATTTCCTATAGGAGCTCAAGTTGTAAGAAGGGATTTCTACGTGGACGATCTCATGTCTGGTGGTGACACAATTTAAGAGGTGAATGTGATATGGCGACAAGTAAAGGATCTCCTGCATAGAGGACACTTTCCCATACGCAAATGGTGCTCCAATGAGCCTATGGTGCTTGATGAGGAGCCGGAGGAAGACAGGGAGAAGCTTCTCAAGTTTCATGATGGAACGGACATATATTGCCAGATATATACATAACATACATAATTCCATACCATAAAAATACCACTCCCCGTAGAAAAATACCGCGCTCCATACACTACATCAGGGGTCGGCACACAGACTCACACATTTTTTTGGTGCGTTTGTGTGTGAAAACAACAGACACGAAGTCAAATACGTTACTTATTTCTCTGCCGCTGCGAAAGCCGAAGAATTGTGCAAAGGGCACACGAATGCTTCTCTGCCGCTGAGGCAAGCGGGCAGAATATGAAGCCGTTTGTGCATAGGCCGAAGCATGTTTCTCATCCGCGACGTCAGCAGAGCAGAATTTTCTCTGCTGGTACGTCATCAGGCAGAATAACGAAACCACACGAAGTCTTTACGCTGTACGTGTGCCGACTGCGCTGCCCGAAATTTTTTCCTATGCACAGTGCATACGACGCTGCCGACCTCTGCACTACATACATACTCCGCGCAAGTGCCAATTTTAATATAAAATTCGCGATTCCGTACAATTCGTGCACTCCAGCCACTTTTCACGATCGCTACCCCAACTCCAACATCCTCCACGGCGCACTTATAGTAATTATTTGGCAATTTCCACTGCCAATTGGCAAATTGGTGTTTCGGTCCTTTGTTGTTGTTTTTTTTTGTTTCGTGCATCAGAGGTGGCGCAATCCAAAAATATCGGTATCGTAACCGAGTCTTGCGTTCGACCAAAAATAAATTAATAAAAAATAAAAAAAAGACAATTTCCAAACAAACACACCGACACTACAAGAAATAAATTAAACGATCCACGAGTTCTTATTTAAACCGTTTCGTCATCCTTTTACCGATATTTTCTGTTTTCCTTCGGTATTTCTCCCGATAGTTCTCCAGCGCCCACTCCGCAGTCATATTCTTGACTGTAGCTTCCGGTAACGCTTACGGCGACTAGGTTTATCTGCACTTTGTCGATCCAAACCGACATAAAGAGCAAACTATCGCCCATTCCAATCAACTATCGAAGAGATAATTGCCATTCCGTCCGCCGTCCATCCGCAAATAACCCAGTTCTGAACACGACTGCGTCAAAGAGGTAAACGGAGGAGCCCGCACTAACAACATTTGCAAAATATTGGCCAAATCAGTGTGACCGGTCCTCTCCTCGGCTCAGCGAAATATAGGTCACTCATTGTTTGAGAAATTTCACTTCACGGCGATCTCAAACAATCCGAGTCGACCCGACTATTGTTTTCCAACAAGCTCGAGGCCTCTTTCCTGACAGCCTTCCATAAGTGGGTTATATTTGTTTCCCTTCCAAATCCGATTTTCTGTGCGTGTGTGAGTTCGGAATATGCCAACAGGTCACAAGGACGGCAACCAGCTTTTGCCTGTGACCTCTTTCAACTGGCTACGCACCTCGTCCGCCTCCGGAACTACGCTGACTCAGAGAATCAAGGCACCCCTCACTCCGAGAGCAGCCAGTAGCAGCCCTGCGGCAAGGACCAAATCGGTTCTGTTCCCGTCTACTGTCACTCTTAAGGTTCCAGCTGTGACCAAACAAGATCCGAAGGGCTCCTTCGTTAGCAGCCCCGTCAGCTCTCGCCACTGCATCACAATGGCTCAATCCGCCACCTCAGTCGCTCGGACCAGATTGGTCGCCGCTATTGGCCGACTGTCGCACCTGGCAGAGCGCATCACCGCCGCCCCATCCGGCTCTCTGTCCGAGGTCCGTCGTGGCCAAATCCTCAGCATGTGGACGGACGTCGAGGCCGAATATAAGGCCTGCTCCGCGGTGATGACTGACGAGGAGCCAAATATCCAAGCGGACATCCGTGACACATACGGTGAATGCTATGGGGTATTTGAGCAGTGCCTCAGTGACCTCAATGCCCAACTGGCCACATCCACAGTTCTTCCTCCTTCACAGCCAGTCCAACAGGGCGGCTGTCGACTGCCTCCCGTCAATATTGAGGCATTCTCAGGGGACTACGTCCGCTGGCCCACATTCCGGGATCTGTTCACTGCGGTCGTGATCAACAATCCTAGATTGTCTCTGGTAGAGAGGTTGACACTTCCACTTCCCAAGGCGCTCCGAATCCGGCACCCGCCAAAGGCAGTCAGAATCCACCATCCTCCCAAAGCCAGTCCAATCCGTTGCGTTCCCAAGGCAGTCCTGTTCCAAGGACAGCGCACTCGTTCCAAAGCAACGTGAATCCGAGCAAGAGCGCTTGTGATCTCTGTTCCAAGGAGAATCACCCGATCCGATTATGTCCGCGCTTTCTCAACATGTCCGCCCATGCACGTTCTAGTTGCATTAAGACAAAACAGCTGTGCCTAAATTGCTTCGCAAGAGGCCATCAGCTTCGCGACTGCTCAAGCTCCCACAATTGCAACACTTGTGGAGGACGACACCACACGCTTCTGCATCGTGGCAATCCAGCTTCCAGCGAGTCACATTCCACATCCGTACCCAATTCGACAGCTTGGCCAGACGTCAATCGACCAGTACCTTCAGCAGAAAATTCAAGTTCTTCCGAACCTCATCCTAACGATCAGACGTATTTCGCCTCCGGCACGCCTCTAGGCACGGCAATTATTAATATTTGGCACCTTGGGAAAAACTCTGATCGACTCGGGCTCCGAGGCAACGTTCATTACGGAACGCCTTTTCAACACAATTAAATTGCCATTCCAACGTATTCAGACACAGATCTCCAGCCTCAATCAGACAGTGTCCGCTCAGTCCGATAAGCTCTGTCAGTTTTCCATTCACTCCCCAACGAGACCGGGCTTACAATTAAACGCCACAGCCTTTGTTATCCCGGAATTGGCAAAGAATCTTCCGTTGCATCCTTTCTCGCCAAGTTTATTAAAAGATTTGCCGAGTCTTCCACTGGCGGATCCTACATTCTTCGAGAGCTCACCAATCGATGTCCTGCCTGGAGCCGATATCCTACCATCGGTATTGTCAAGCGGGTTGCAGCCCAACATATGTGGCTCTCTTCTCGGCCAAGAAACCATTTTTGGTTGGGTGCTTACTAGTCCCGTGTCCAATACGGAGAGCCATCAAATTGCATCCTTTTCTTGTCGAATTTGCAGAGTAGCTTCCAATGTCCCAAATGTGCCCGTCATCCGTTCAAAGCTCACTTCTAATGCTTCTTCAACTTTTTCATTTGGCCCTAGCCTTCCACATACAGACATTGCTGCCCGATCCCGTTTCGACAGCACCGTGGAGAGCAGACGTTCCCGAGGTACTAAGTCCTACCAATGCCGAGTCTGCTCAGAAATCCATCCTCTACAGAAATGCCGCCGCTTTCTCCGCCTGGATTCCGAAAGGAGGCTCCAAGCTGTCCTCCACTTCAGCTATTGCACCAATTGCCTGTCCCACCGACACTCCGGCCAGGATTGCCGAAGCGGTATTCGGTGTAACGTGTGTAACCGGAGCCACCACACGTTACTCCACCTTCCCGAGTCTCGGCGCCTATCTGGCTCCTCTGCGACACCGCAGCCTTTATCTTCAGCGTACAGCGCCGATGTGCGCCCTCGTCTTCCTGCGAGCCGCCCCGGCATAGGAATCCCGGATTCATCAGCAACCTCCTTGCTTCCAAATCGGAGCATATAGAGTTTTTGCAATCCTGCAAGGGGGGGGGAGAATGTTCAGAGTGAGGACGGCGCTGGCGGGGTAACAGCTCTGTGGGCATTCCAGCCACACCACTGTTAGCAATCCAGCTACGCAAGCTGTTGCCCTCGCTCTCGCTCTCACGCTTATGAGCGTTTTTCCCCCCGGAGACGCGCTTTCGCGCGCATACTCACCACGCTTTCGCTCCCGCCCACGCTCACGCTCCCGTTCTCGCCGCCGACAGCCCTCGGCAGCTTGAGCGCCACCGATCTATTCAATGCGCTTCTTCACCCACAAGCAAACGGTCGGCTTTGCACGCGAAACATAAATACATATATATAACCTAAGCACCAGAATAAACCCCGAAATATACATTGAAGAATTTGGATTTGCCTATCATATTTATCTGTGGGAAACATCAGTGGAACTTCGAACGCCTCTACGCTCCAACACTAAGGCAAAAGAATAACTAAAATCGAACCGTTGGTTTTTCGTCGCTTGATCTTCAGCTGACCCGCGCATACAGGGTGTTATATTTTGCAATTGAAAACTTAAGTAGTGCCTCTGATTTGTGTGTGAACTTCTTGTGACGCTAATAAAATGGCAGAAAACCATGATATTGGTCATGCTTTGCCTGCTGGCCCTAGTGAGGTTGATTTTTACAGAGCAAAGGCGAAGTCGATCCAGTGCCAACTCGTGGCTATGAACACATTTATTACCGATGACTCTATAATTCAGTTTGACGAGGCTGATCTACGTGCGCGAATAAAGCATAATGAAACAATGTACGCTGATTTTAACATTGCACAGACCAGCTTAGAAAGGCTCGATCTGATGGTGCTCGACGGCGACGCGCGGTCCGATTTTACGGCGGTTTATTTGGAGATGATTGCGAGTTGGGCAAGGCAAACTCAACGGCCATGCCTCATCATTTTTCCGGAGATGCTCCGTTCAACACTTCATCACGGAGGTCAAGGCTGCTGCATCTGGTATTGACGCGCTTCAGTGGAGACTACGCAGACTGGCCAGATTTCTTTGGGCTACATGGTGTTGAGATGGGATCTGCCAAGACCCGGGAAAAATGGGAAAAGGACTTACCGATCAACAAGCTGTCAAATTGGAGCACCACGCTGAATGCCTGTTTTGTGACGGAAAGGACCACATCCTAACTAAATGCAGCATTTTTTTTTAATTTGGCACCTACCTTGCCGTACAAGGAAGCAAAGAAAATGCATCTCTGCCTCAATTGTTTCCGCAAGGTTCATGGGTTGCAGCAGTGCAAGTCTGGAAATTGTAAGCAATGTCAAATTAAGAATCATACATTGCTCCATATGTCGCAAAACCCGTTTGCATCCTCACCAACCACGGTAGGGGAAAGCGTGCCTCAAAATCAAACATCCGCATTAATTTCATGCTCGACATCCTTACCTCACCCTTTAACTATTGCCAGTATCCCAAACAATTACGTGTTGCTAGCTACAGCCATCGTTTTGGTTAGGAATCGAGCTGGAACGCTGGTGCCCTGTCGAACGATTCTTGATTCTGCATCTCAGCTCAATTTCATAACGTCCCGTCCAGCTGGCCATCTACAACTAAATCATCGTCATTCGCCCATTTCGATATCTGAAATTGGAAAATCGTCGCTCAGCTTTAATAAGGCAGTGGAAGTTGTTATGCAGTCTCAGGATGGTGGATACAAGTCTTCTTTCACGGCGGTTGTTACTAAGGTCATCACTGACTATCAGCCGCATTGCGACATTAATGCTGCTGGCTGGGATCTGCCTAAGAATATAAGCTTGGCTGACCCTTTATTCTATAGATCTCAGCAAATCGATATGCTCATGGGGGCGGGTCTATTTTTCGATTTGATCTGCATTGGACAGATACAGTTGGCTGAAAGGTTGCCGTCGCTCCAGAACACCAAACTTGGTTGGATCGTCTCTGGAGGTCTGGCCAACTACATCACCAATCGCTGCGCTCTGGCTGCGGCAGCTCGACCGCACATACTAAAGGAAGAAGAGGATTCTCTGTCTGAAGTTGTGAAGCGTTTTTGGGAGCTTGAAAACTGTTACTCATCTGAGGCAGTTCCATCAAGTGAGGATACACTCTGCGAGCGATTGTTCAAGGAAAACTGTGCTCGGCTGGAAAATGGTCAATGGTTCTGTTCGGCTCTTGGCTTCTGCTGGTTTTGAGGCCCTTGGCGACTCATTCTGTCTCGCTCTTCGTCGATTCAAAGGTCTTGAGACAAAGTTGCTAAGAAATCCGTCACTAAAGGCTCAGTATAGCGCGTTCCTTCAGGAATATCTAGACTTAGGGCACATGTCTTTGGCCTCCAACACACAGAAATTGGCACAGTTTTTCTTGCCGCATCATTGCGTTCAAAAACTCGACAGCAGCTGCACGAAGCTTCGTGTTGTCTTCGATGGATCCGCAAAGACCACATCAGGGCGTTCGATCAATGACTTGTTGATGGCGGATCCAACCATTCAGCCAAAAATATTCAACACACTGGTTCGGTTCAGGTTCTTGAAGATTGCACTTTGTGGAGAAATCTGCAAGATGTATCGCTGTGTACGGATATCGAACCCGGATGAATATTTGCAATGCATCCTTTGGCGAGAAGCGCCTACTGATGAAATCAAGGTGTACAAGCTGGAGACCGTGACGTATGGAACAAAGCCCGCCGCTTTTTTGGCAATTCGTGCCATGCACCAGCTATCGTACGACGAGGAGATATCATTTCCTATAGGAGCTCAAGTTGTAAGAAGGGATTTCTACGTGGACGATCTCATGTCTGGTGGTGACACAATTTAAGAGGTGAATGTGATATGGCGACAAGTAAAGGATCTCCTGCATAGAGGACACTTTCCCATACGCAAATGGTGCTCCAATGAGCCTATGGTGCTTGATGAGGAGCCGGAGGAAGACAGGGAGAAGCTTCTCAAGTTTCATGATGGAACGGACATAGCGAAGGCGTTGGGGCTTGTATGGGATCCTACTTCAGATAGCCTGTTGTTCAATTTTTCGCAAATAATGCCAGACGGCCCACCCACCAAACGCTCTGTCCTGTCTAAAGCCAAAATATTCTTACAGAGCTTATGGAAGGAGGAGCTAGGATGGGATGATGCACTGTCTGAACCTTTGTCGACAGTGTGGTCAGACATGACATCTCAATTACGCATAATTCATAACTATAAATTCCCTCGTTTTGTCATGCTCCCGAACTCATCTCTCCAGTTGCACGCATTCTGGGACGCCAGCATAACCGCATATGGAGCTTGCGTTTACATAAGATCGGACAGCCAAGGACTTACCACATCCCGCTTACTCTGCTCGAAGTCCAAGGCAGCGCCTTTAAAGACGCTAACCATACCCAAGTTGGAACTGTCCGCCGCGTTGCGAATTCCACTGTTGGCATCACGTGCCGACGGATCTTAACCCGGCAGATATAGTGTCAAGAGGATGTTCTCCAAAAGAGCTTTTTGATTTGGAATTGTGGCTAAATGGACCACCGTACCTGTTATCGGACTCGTTAGGATTGCCTTCTCATGCTCAGACGGCTGAAGACCTACCAGAACGCAGACAGGAGGCATTGGTTGGAATAGTTGTAACGGACCTCTCATGTCAGCAAGTACACAAACTCGTTTGGCAAGCTCCAACGTGTCTTTGGATATATTTATCGTCTTATCTCCCTTCGAAGACAGGATATTGTTCGTTCAAGTTCCACGCTCACCGTACAGGAGCTGGACGGAGGCACGCGTTTGCTTATTAAAAGTATCCAGAAAGTTCATTTCGCTGAGGAGATCAACGCACTCATCGCCATTAAAGCACTTCCGGCCAGCCACCCGGCCACTTCCTACTTTCGTTGCATCCGCTGCTCGATGCTGATGGACTGCTTCGCGTGGACGGGAGGCTTCTAAAGTCGAACGTAGCATACGATGCAAAGCACCCTATATTGCTGCCGAAGTGTCATCCGATCACGAGGGTAATCATAACGTTCTATCACGAAAAATTTTTGCATGCTGAACCACAGGCTTTACTAGCCTCGCTTCGTCAGAAGTATTGGCCTGTTGGAGGTCGAAAATTGGTGGCAAGCGTCGTAAGCAAATGCGTCCGTTGCTTCCGGACAAAGCCAAAGTTGGCTGAGCACGTGATGGGAGATTTGCCAACTGATCGTGTCCAACCGAACCCCGCATTTCACACAACTGGAATTGATTTTTGTGGGCCGTTCTATCATAAGGCTGATGTCCGGAATAAGCCCCCATGCAAATGCTACATCTCCATATTTGTGAAAATGAAGGCACAAATTTACAAAAACTCGTATTGACCTTCTATCGTTACAAACGCAGTTTATTCTACCGAATCAGGGTGCATTGGTATTTGATGATATCCGCTAGACATGTCTAAACAAGTAAAATAATTAGCTCCACATAGTCTTGCAATCTGGTCATCGATGAGTGGCAAGGGGTATAATCGACCCAACCGATTTTCTTTTTTACAAGCAAAATAGGGCTATCGTACGGAGAACAGCTGGGTCTAATGATGTTACATTTTATTAACTCACTTATCTGTGACCGAACTGTTAGCTTTTCTTCAGGGCTGAGTCTATACGGTCGCCGCTGCACTGTTTTGCTTGAGTCTATTAATCGTAATTTCATTTCACCACATAGTCTTGCAATCTGGTCATCGATGAGCGGCAAGGGGTATTGTTTAAGTAATTTAATAAACTTATCTTTGTCATTATCAATCAGGTCATTATTAACATTAAATAGACTAACTGGCAATTCCTAAGCCGCACAAACATTACAAGATTTGGTTTTCAAGATTTCAAATTTATTAAACGAAAGTAAAGCGTGAAAACCATGCTTAAGAATTTCTCGTCCAATTAGAATATCATTCTGCAATTGTTTATCTTGTACGGAATGAAACAAAATTTCAGGGGCATTTTCATTAATTAAATCACTGCTTAAGATTTTCAATGTGCTGTATATACCAGCATCACCAATACCCTTTAACATTACAATGTTATTGATGTTATTGATACAATGTCAAAACAAATTGGAAAGATCGTACCTCGCTGTGTCATACTTTCTTTAGGCTCTGGCACAAAGCACTAATTGATGCTCTTCTGCTGAAATGCTCCTGATTTGGTAACGGTCGCCTCCTTGGAACATTTGTTAGCGAGATGTCCACGCTGGCCATACCGATAACAGGTCATGCCTCTCGGCGGCTTCGTTTCTCTCTTGAAGTTGTTTCCACTTCCATCCTGCAGTTGCTTAGTGCGACAGTTTTTTATTTTGTGGCCTGGCTTCTTACAAAAATTGCACAACAGGGTAGACTGCCTTAATCGCTTGCAATCGGGTTCCATGTGTTCCACTGTTTCAGCACTGCGTTTGTTTGTAAATGTAAGGGCCGTCCACTCCGACTGCAGCTTGCCTCAGGTAGTCACATTTGAAGTGAAAATAAGTCTCTGCAAGCGACTTTCGAACAGCAGACACAGCGATTTCTTCGATGTTCATGTTTTTCCACTTCGACATAAGAGAAGTTACCAGGCGGCTTGCGTACACTGTATGGCATTCGCCAGCAGATGGACGGCTGTTAACAGGATTTAGCAATATGGCGGCCAACGACTGTTCGGTCTCATACCGCTACTTGAAAAGTTCCTTGAACTGGTTCCACTCAATTCCAGCATAACACACTTTGGTTAACCACTGCAAAGCACTGCACTCCATGCAATTGCTCAGTGCCATAGTGAGCCCACTTCCCATTAGCGGATTCTCCGATAAAATAATGTCAGCGGTCACACACCATTGGGAGGTGTCAGCGCCCTCTCCGTCAGGGTTAAACGTACAGATGACCGTGCGAAAAACAGGGAAATTCAAGATTAATCCCTTAGACTTTCAAAGATTGGCCTTGGGATTTATTGATTGTAATCGCAAAAGCCAATCGAACGGGGAACTGAATCCTTTTAAATTGTAATGGAACAATCGGAATTCGTGGGACTAGGACTACCTCTCCCTTGAATTTTCCCTTGATGATCGTCGCTTGAATCACATTGTTCATCAGTTTTTTCACGGACAACCGCGAACCATTGCACAATTTCCAGTCATCCCGAAATCTATTGCTGCCGCTGAACTTAATGCATGTTGGCTGCGTTTCCTTCAGTAGCGATGGCGTCACCTCAAGTGGATGTACTTTTCTGATCGTAACTTCGCCGGACTAAAACGAATGAAATTGAGCTACTCCGTTTCGACCTTTACGTAAATGTCGACGCAGTACTGTTGAAACAACTAGCGATATCAACAGATGATTGTCAACCTCTTGCCGAATAATCAATCGACACGCATAAAAATTCATTCAGTTGACCTTATTCGTTTCTTCTCCTGAAAAGTAATGAATTTAAACAAACTTGCCGTTGGATTGAGCATCTTTATATTCATTCATGATAGCCAGCCTCTCCACGAAAGTACGTCAATGGATATTTAAGTGAATCATATGAACGATGAGTCTCGTCACTAATTTTGGATGAACCATAACCAAAGGGAAGCTGCAGTGGATCAGTGGTTTGTCAACTCGAAACGTAACTCTTCCCAATTTCCGTCATCTTTTTTTTTAATGGCAGCAAGGCTGATAACGATTGTGATATTGATAATCTTTTCGCTTCATTTGTTCAACTCTGCTACTCAGTTCCCTCTAATAACCATCCCTCTATTCTGGCTTCTTCTAACATACTTTGTCCCAATCAATCTTATCCTTTCCACATGAATAGTTCTAACTGTATCTATCCCCCCTTCGTCGACTATAATGGCGTCTTAATTAATTTAAAGTCATGTAAATTTTCGTTTTCTACCGGCCCCGATAGTGGTTCCTAGTGCTGTCCTTAACCTTTGTGCAGATTCTCTCTGTGTGCCCCTCCTTAAACTGTTTAACCTATCTCTCGAGCTCGGCAATTTTCCCACTGTCTGGAAAGAGTCATATATTATTCCCATTCATAAAAAGGGGTCTAAATCGGATATTTCTAATTACCGTGGGATCTCCAATTTATCTGCCATTACCAAACTCTTCGAAAAAATAATTACTTCCCAGCTCCAACATTTTTGTTGTTCCTTATTCTCTGAATCGCAGATTTGTAAAACGTCGATCTATTTCGTCTAACCTCCTGGAATTCTCCACTTTCGTGCATGAGGGTTTCGCTAAGCAGTCTCCAACTGACGTAGTCTATACTGACTTTAGTAAAGCCTTTGATTCAGTAAATCATAATCTGCTTATTCATAAATTATCTCTCCTAGGGTTTCCGCCTAAACTACTTTTCTGGCTTAATGCATACCTTTGTAATCGATCTCAGCGTGTCTGTTTTAATAACTCTCTTTCTAAGCCTGTTTCTGTATCGTCAGGGGTATCTCAAGTTAGCCATCTTGGCCCTCTGTTGTTTAATTTGTTCATCAATGATCTTCCCCAAGTCTTAACTCATTCCCGAGTACTTATGTATGCGGACGATGTGAAGTTATGTTTCTCTTATAGCGACCTTATGTCCCCGTTATGTCTCCAATCTGATCTTGACGCCCTCAACAACTGGTGCTTAAGCCTAGTACTCAGATCGAAAAACTGTTTGCTAGCAAACAGATGTCATATATTTTTCGAGCGACCAGTGGTGTGACCAGAGGTGTGCACTGCATTCCGAACGGTTACACTGCTCAGACCGCTGCTTGGTTTTGTTTAAAGTTAACAAAATGCACTTCTTCGGCTGGGGCCGCTCTTCCCAGGCATATCCTGGGCTCCCAAATATTTTATTGGCAAGGTAATGTGTCTGACTA